GTAGATCAGGCATATGCAAAACGCCTCTTCATGTTACATCTTCACAGTTGATTTCTAGTGAGGTCTTCCCTGTGCCAGTAGTGAAAAGCCTTCTCTATCCTGGAGCCATCGTAAATGGCATCATCACTAATATGACTGTGCCTAGCTGGAATAATCTGCTCGACATTTATAACTTGACTCACATTAAAAATGCTTCTGCGGTACCTGACTTACAACGCTTGGAGGTTTGTCTTCAGCTCTCTCTCAACTCATTCTTCTGCTGGGAAACTCAATTATAATTGTTTTTATTTACTTCTAATATTGTCCTGAAAAGTGATTATAATTGATTTTTGATCAGGTTCTTGCTGGAAGCTACTTCTCTGTGGCTGGCTCCCTCATTAATATCATAAAACCTGGAAGAATGAGCATGTTCGGGACCCTTCTTGTTGTGTGGGGTCTCGTAAAGGAAGGAATTCTCAAAAAGCCTGTGGACACTGATCAAACAACTGTATTCGTGTACCCAACAATTTTGGTCGCTTTGGTTTGTGCTTTCTTATCTGTAAAATACGATATTAAGAAGGTGGCCAGAAGTGCCCCTGCCCAACCCGTGGCAAAGCCTCTCAAGAGCTCGTCCAAATCCAAGCTGAAATGATCGATGATGCATCTTTTTACAAGAATAGAATGTCATTTCATGTATTCTTGATATCTTGTATTCCGGCCTTTTGTTTATGGTGCGATTTTCAACTGATAGCTTTTTTTATTTGTCATCCAGGGGAACCTAGCTTCTTTTGATTTGGCCGATTTTATTTTCGTCAGGTAGGAAACATGAGGACCTATAAGTGTAAATCTGGGTGTACCCCTTCATGTAGTTAATCATAAAAACGCATTTATGGTTCAAATTCTTCATTTTAACTCCTCAATTTGCAATAGGTGATTTATACCAAAAAAAAACATACATAAATTTTAAGAGAGAAAAAAATACATGAAATCTGCAGAGGGAAAATTTGTGTTTACCAGCTTCTCACTGATTTTTTTTACTGTTTGATCAATACATGCTCATGTGGGTGCTTGAAAATGTGTTTGACTCGACGGTATAAAACCCAACGGTAAAATTTTCCTCTGTTTCACAGTTTAGCAATCTCCTTCTCCCCAAAAATTCCCAGATTATAGCAGAACGCCATCGTATTGCCGAAAGCATCACATGTAAATAGCCAAGACTTCAAACAAAGAATCAAATGTTGTCCTGAAATCATTTTCCATCACATCAAAGATTGATCTCATGCACAAAGTACTTATTCCCCCTGTACTTAACCACCCTATTCTCAGCCCCAACACACCACAAATGGCCCTGCAACTCCAAATCCCCTTTCATCTCCGCACTCTCCCACACAAACTTAAACAACCCTAAAGCCCTATCCAACTGCTTCACCCCATCCAAAACGACCTTCTCCTCATCAACGGTCAAAATCTTCCCCATATACAAGCAAACCCCTTTCCCCCCACTACTGCCAAAAACCCCTCCACGAACATCAACCTCGATGTCCCAAACACTACCATACAGATAATACATCAAAAGCGTGAACAAACACCTAGACGAGTAGCCCAAACCCTTGATCAGATTTTTCTGTACCAAATGCTCCTGATATCGAGCCTCCTTATACCCAATGCCCCTGTCGATCACAACATCCCTAATCTGATATAGCCCTTCTTTCATAACCTCGAGCTTCAAAATGTGAAAGGCCAACTCATTTTCCTCACTCAGGCAGTTGATGAGGTCTGTTGCCATCTCGAGCACTTCCTCCCATTTGGCGGGCTCGTTCGAGTCGACCACCTTCTTAGGTTTAAGCCTCATCCAAGAACTCGACTCGGGGTCATGAGTCACCGCAGGCCCAAGGGATTTCAAGCAGTTGACAACGACTTGTTGGGCCAATCCCATTTCTTTACTCAGCCCGCTGTGGGCCCGATTCAGGCCCTCGATCTCGGATTTCAGTTGGTTTAGTATCTCAACAAGTGCACCAGCCCATAGCTGGTGATTTGTGACCTGAGGGCAAATTTTGTGCCGGACAACTTTCCTCTGCTGGGGTGATATGCTTAGAATGTCGGCCACTTTGGTTAGCGAGTTCACGGTAAGAGCGTCCCGCTCGTGGGGCTTGTCGAAATAATGTATTTCTTTGCCCTGCGCATCTGGAAATGTAGATAGAAAATTGTTCCTCATTATCTCTTTTGTTGAAGGAAGCTCGATGAGGGCCCGGGAAAAGGACTTGAATGCCTGCATTTTGCGCTCGAGCTGTTTGTCGAAGACTCTTGAGCCATCGTCGGTGTTCACGAGACGGCCGCCGATCAAGTCGAGATTTTTCAGGGATGGGCCCCACTTTCTCAGCCTTGAGAAGGCTTTCGCATGCCATTCTGAGGGTAGAACCTCCCCTTGGTATTCTTCAGGGTCGGGCGATTTTCGGCCGGCTTGTGTTTTAGAGTGATAATGTGCTAACCTCATCATGAACATGTTGTTAGTCTGTTTTCTTGATTTTGTTGCTGTGTGCAGAAAACTGTGCGCGTGCTTGAGGGCCATTTAGAATTTGCAAAGATTTGGCTTTTTAAGCACTTTACTCGCCAAGATTAAAGCTTTCGTGAGACAAAAATCCCCCACACGGGCATTTCATCGAACAGTTTAGTCAAGTGGTGTGAAATTTAGAGCCACGTTGTTACCTGTAGTTTTGAAAAGGTACGCGCAGAATTTCGTCAAACGCATGCTAATCATTTTAGACACACACACACACAGAGAGAGAGAGAGAGAGAGAGAGAGAGAGAGAGAGAGAGAGTACCCATTTTCTTGGGTTGAGTCGGGCCTTATGGGCTTTGGGGGCGGCGCCAGTCACCACGCTCCTGATCGCACACCATAATGTGCTGTTCAAATGTTGATTTTGAGGAGTTTGTGAAATAGCTACGTAAGATATATTTATCATTGGCGTGGAACCCAAAATTGGTTCAATTTGGCCATGATTTGGCCCAAATTATGCTATTAAACTAGTCTAAGATTGGCTAAAATCTCTAGATAAACGACATTCGTCATGATTTATGTATATCTATTCATGTCTCTAATGTCCTGACGGGGCTGCCTCCGACGTTTTGCATTCGAAACGAGACAGTTCAACTGGAAATCTTGGTGGGCCGATCATTCTACCACATCGAATTGACACCGTATGTGGAAACGATTGAGTTGAAACGTGGATAGCGCATCGCCAAACGGATAAGAAAATAAATCCCGTTCGAGCAATTTTCGAACACAAACTTGTGACATCAAGATTGAAAGCAAAACAAACATGAAACCAAACCGTATTGAAACGAGAACTCTTCTTTCGAAGATAAATTCGGAACCAATACATACGGTGTTGAAAATACACCTACTCAACCTCCATATGTTATATACCCATAAGACTCGACAAGAATGGAGCTCTCGGCCATGGCCAATCAATCCACTAGCAGCCCGAAAAAAATGGGAAATTTTTCTACCGAAAAAATCATGTGCACGAGCCTTATGATTTGAGAGATGGGCCAATAGAACCAACTCCCGTGAAGAACTTATTTTTTGCCATCCACAAAGGTCACTTGTGCCACAACAAAATAACAATGCTCGCTTTCGACTCTTTTTCACAATTATATTGACAAGAAAAGGGATCAAAATGTTACAAAAATAAAAGCCGATGTAAAATCACTGACTGCTACGAAATAACGTTTTCTTAACATCGGCTGAACTACATGTACATGGTTACTGATTCATCTTCTACAACTTTAACCCATTTACAGATACAACAATTTTATACAACAATTTTATCCAACACTTTCCAGGATTAGAATTGATTAAATTTCCAAAACAGCTATTGTAACAATCTCCTTTATCTTGCTGCTCATATCAAAACAGAAGGACCTGAAGGAGCCCTTGTTGTGGCTCGGAGAAGTCGAGCCCTTCCTCTTCAAGGAGGTATATCTGAACAGCAGTCGGGAGTGTGGTTAGGGTACATGGGTCCTTCGTGTGCTGACCTGTCCCCAGGCATATGTAGACGAGCACTCCCTGTTCCGCTGACCTGGCGACATGCCTAAGCACGGCCAGCTCACGCCTGAGCACGTGAAGCGCCTCGTTTACGTGCAGGCCATGCAGGTCGATCATTCTCTCTTTCACCTGGGCCCGCATGTTCATGTTCCTGAAAAAAAGATTTAATCAAGAGAAGGTTGTTATCTTGATTGTTGAGTTCCTCTTTTTCTTTTTCCCTTTTTTTTGGGGATTGGGGGGGTGGTTCTCTTGCGGCACTTGAGATTAAATCTGCTTACACTCCAAAAAAAGGCCTATTATTAGTATCCCTTGATTTTTCACTATAATCTACAACATGCAGCTGTGGAGGGGACGGATTTGTTTTTTCATTTTGCTACAAAGGGTCATGAATATATTTTTTCATTTCGCTTCACAAATTATATTGACAAAAATAACAAAATTTGAGTTCCTACGTAAGCGGGTACACCCTTAACGAACCTCTGGCGAAAAATTGATTCTTGAGCTTTCTCATGAGCTGCTTTCATCCACATATTGTGCATTTGTCCTTTAATGATCAAATCCTTGGCTAGGGACTTGTTGCCTATCTGGTAGGCTTGTCGAGCCTAATCTCATAAACATTATCAGATATAATTCATATTAGGAAGCTTAAAAATTCACTAATATTGATGAACTGAGCATAGTCCCATGCATATAATGATGCAAATGCTCGGTTTTTCAGAGAATGATCATTCGCCCATTGTCACCCTTTCAGAGTACATACCTTCTCAAAGTATGCATTGCGTAAGCGTGCATGATCACGAGCTTCCTCCCATATTTCAGAATACATATTTGCTGCCAGCTCAACAAAATTAAACCACGTGGGCATGAAGAATACAAATACCACAATTAACTAATTATAAAAACCACCTCAAAGTTTGGGATGATTACAAAGTAAACAAAAGTATCCAATTTACTCAGAAAAAAAAAATAAAAAAAAAAATTGAGCTTTTAATCATCACTGCACTTTTTCCATGCACAATTTTCGCTTTATATTCATTAGAATATTACAACTTATTCCTTATAACTATGACTGAGTCACATTTTACAGTATGGTTCTCCGTTTTAACTTATTTTAAATTTTATGGGTTTCCACTGTTACTACTTTAAATGGTCACCGATTGATTCTTTAACTATTTCATTCAGAAACAGAACAAGTTAGACATAGCAACAAACAAATTACCACAATTTTGCACAGTTTTGCTGTAAATGCCCCTGCCTTGTCCACTGTTGTACGAGCTTCCGAGTAACTGTAAACTTCTACTGGACCCAACGCTTGTGACTGAAGAACCTTTTTTCTCGTACGCCCAAATGCTAGAATCTTGGGACGCCATTTTTTCCACAGCCGAAGCAAAATTTATAGCCCCTCTAGACTGAGAAGATGGAAATGGACTAGAAAAGGGTGTGCAGTCTTTTCCGAGACCGTTTTGAACATTTGTCACACAGAGAGCAGGAAAATTCGAGCCACTAAGATTTGTGGCAGGCAAGTTCTTTGAATTAAGAGTTTGATTAAAGCCTCCGTACATCTCGACCTGAAGCCACAACACAAGTACGTATACATAAAAATCAAATACCACACAAAGCAACATGTGGTCTAACATGCACCAAACAGCATGCATCGTTATTAGGTTCAATTTCCGATGAAGAGAAGCAACATTGCAGAAACATTATAATAGCTTTGGCTGATTTAAGATCCAACAGTTGAAAGGAGAATAACTATTTTTCCGCATTAAGATATATCCATAATATGCAACAAATTTAGTTCCCAAATCCCAAGGAGAATAACTATTTTTCCGCATTAAGAAATAGCCCATACCTCCAGCTGAGTAAGCATCTCGATTGTTAAATTCAAGTCACCACCATTGGCAAAATACACCTCCATAAGACGTTCGGCAGAAAAACCAGGAAAACGGGAAGCTAGAAATTCAATTGTGCTCAAATCTTGATTCTCCATCATCAATTGCTCATTCGACACATCACTACAGAAATCGACTCTTGAATCCCCATAATAAGAATATCCGTCTTTTGCAAGAAGACGACCATCATTCCCAATTCGCTTATCCCAATGTTTATCGAAAGATCCCCGAAAACCCAAAGGCAGCGCTCGACGTTCTCCACAAGACGAGACACCAATTCTTTGCTTTCCAACATAATTGTTACCATTAAAAAGATGAGATGATAAACCTTGTTGTTCAAGAGCAGAATGTTCTTTACCATCCATTAGTGATAAGCTTGAAAAGGATAAACCATTGATCTCTTGACTAGTATTATCTAACCCTGTGGCCTCAAAATCGGGAGTAAGGTCATCTGGGAGTTGATGATGCCAATACTGGTGGGCTTCTTCATCTGACTTTTTCGAAATCGACGACTCTGAACGATCCAATGTGGATTTCTCAGGTGTAGCCTCAATAGAGGTTGGACATATTGGCGATGCTTTTGAACTGCTAATGACTCCAAGAGGAACAAATTCTCTGGCATTTGGATTCAAAGTTTCTTTTTTTGCATAACTGGTCTCACTGTTACCAATAGAAGCTTCCTTTCCCAGCAAGTTCACGACTTTTTCGTTATTTTCCATGTTTGGTATTCAATCAGCTCAGAAAGTAGTCAGTTCTTAGATTAAAACAAATGAAGCATTGATAAGGAGAGCCTGTTAGTCAAACCCTGCAATTGAATTCTTCCAATTCAGAACTCAAAATCATGACCACTAAACGAGATCTTCTATCTCTATGACTATCAATACAAAGAACAAAAACAAATATATTGATCAAGATTCAAATAGCTGCCTAGATTACGACAACAAAGACATTCAAAATCTTGTTTTGAGAGCCAATTCAAAGTAGACAAAATCTTAGTTTCATTAAAAAAACATAACTATCAGTAAATAAGCAACAGATGACAATAAATGAGCACCCATAATCACGATAATCAAGAATCGGCTAATAATCTCACTCAAGAAAGAGCTGTTACTTGAGAAATACTTCATTCTTGTACTATTTTTTTTTTTCAAGAAATAGAACACAAATAAAGATCTCTTAACTTCTGAACCTTCAAAAGAAGAAGAAAAAGATATACCTTTTGCAAGCTCTGTAGTGAAAGAACCCACATCAAACGCCATTACCACACAAACAAGCTAAACAAAAAAGATGAGGTTTATCGAGTTGTGAGCGGAGCTGAGGGCAGAGAGGGTTTCTCTATTTTGACTTCTTTATTTTTACTATCCTTTCTCCCTTCTCATTTCTATTTTGTGACCTTTTTCCCTTTTATTTATTTATATTCTGGGTTATTTTATCTCTTAATTTAACAGTGATTTTATAGATTTATACACCAACTAGTACAACACCCGTGTATTACACGGGTGTTTACTAATTTTTTTCTTAAAATCTAAAATTAATGAGAAAAAGTTGTTTGAAAATTTAAATACCTTTTATAAGAATATATATATATATTATTATATATTTATTATAACACTTTTTATTTGTGCAACTTACTTACTTGTGTTATATTATACTAATTTTTTTAACTTACAATATATGACTACATTACATATAAATATATCAATTGAGAAATAATTTTATTTTTCTAATAAATTTTAATAAATATTATTATTTTTTATTATTATAAAGATAAATATAATTTATTTATTTCATATATACAATATGGATGTCAAATCGAAGATCATCAAAATATGATTAATTTGATATATTATATATGTAAAACCGAAAAGAAATACAAAAGTTATCAACTTTTAAAATACATTTATAATTCAATATCTTATTGAATGAAACAAATCAAAATTCAGAGATATATTAGTCACTTAGTGCCTCACTATATAAAATTACAAAGAATTAAAGGGTTATATTAGTAAAACTGATATTAAAATACCTAAGTTAGCTAAATAATATTTATGAAATACCGAACCTAAATTATTAATTATTAATATATCAATATTATTTATCCAAACCTAATTACGAAGCATGATTCTTCGCCAAATAAGATTCCGAAGCACCAAAAGCAACCACGTAGACTCAACGCATTCTGAAATTATATATAGGGAGGATATCATTATAACATAAATAATTATTGGTACAAATTACAATTTAGTATTGGAAAATAGAGTCCAGAAAAAATTTATAATTGAAAAATAAAGTATCAATCAATAAAAAAATAGTTCCTCAAAGATGAGGTTTTGTCTCCTATTTTAGGGGTTTATTTCGGACTTTTCAGATTGTGTTTTTACTACATATATTACGTGGTTGCTTGTTAAAAAATTTATATTTAATTAAAAATTAAAAAAATAAAAATAAATACTTTTTTGAGAAACTATATTATTATTTATATTTAAAATAAATCTCGTCACTCATACGACTTACCATATTATATTATAATAGTTTTAAATTGTATCATATAACTACTTTGTAGTTAAGTTAATTTAAATAATATTATTAATATTAATAAGTATTTAATTTGTATTATAAAGATAAATATAGTTATTTATGTATTTTGTATATAATTACAATATGGATGTCAAATCAACTTTCATAAAGACACGATTAATTTGATATATTATATATAGAAAACTGATAATATATAAAAAAATTATTAACTTTTAAATATTATAATTATATTTAAGTTAGTAATTTCTTGTAATTTTAAAGCAAATATGAGGAAAAAATAAACATTAGAGTTAAAAGTAAGAATTATAAACTACGTCGAGAATAAGAAATCACGTTAAACATAATTAATGCTCTTAAAAAATAACAAATATGCAGAATATTTGATATTCCAGACCTAGTTACTTTTGCATTAGAAGTATATTAAAATTCATCTACGTAAAATGAAAAAGCATGCAAATTTGTCACATCGATCCCGAAACATGCAAGTATGCCGCTTAGTCTCAACACGTTCAAAAATTATAAATAGAGAAAATTAAGTTATTGTCTCATTTACGATGTCGTGTATAAAGAGGTTTTGTCCTTATTTATTTATTACGCGGTTAAACACCAAATAACTAACTACTACGTACTAAGCCCTTATTTATTTATTTATTTATTTTGCCCTTATCAGTAAATCTAATCGTCATGGGTTCGAAACCGATATCAAATGGATAGCAATTCAGTTTACTTCAATTTTTCCATCGGTTCGATTCGGTTCTCTTTTCAATTTTCATTAAAAAGATCATATATATGCCTAACTATCACTCAAATTATATTACTCACTTACATATTTCCAAGAATATGTAAATTTTATTATTTTTATATCAATCAACTTTAATCATTATACTTTTATTTTAAACTCATTTACAATTTTATTAATATAATAACTCCTTTAAAAAAAAAAACAACTTTTTCACTTTCATTTACTGTTTAAGTTGAAATATATATTATTTTACGATAATATATTCAATCGCAGAGAGCAACACACAGGGGCACAGGAAATTAGTGATGACCCCACGCGAGGTGAAATGCACGTGGCCGTGGAACTAATGACCCGCTGTTTTAATCGCCTGTGCAACGGACCATCGTATATGATATACACCACACTTGGTATAGTGCATTTCAAGTTAAAGCCATATATATCAACAAAATGTGATACAATATGAGTTTGTAAAAGAAAATATACAAGATTGTAATTAATATACTTATAAATGGATATAGTGCATTTGATTCACCTGAGTTTAGTTAATAAATGATTGAATTTGTTAATTTTAAATTTTGGATGGAAATCCTAATTTGATTTAAGAAGTTTATAAATTTTTTGTGTCAAATTATAGTTGTTTTTATTTATTTGTTTTTATAAATAGCTTTTATAAACACTTATTAGATTAGAGGACTAATCATATTAAATAAAATTATTGTTTTATATCAATATACTTAGTCCAAATAAATTTGACTTGTTAGGATGATTTTTTTTTCTCTCTAGCTCTAAATTCTTGATATTATCTTAAAAGTATTCTAGATAGCTTTCAAAAATGCCTATTAAAATTTTTATTCAATTAATTTATTAACTAATTTTATCACCCTCTATCAAATTTGTCAATTTTTAACTGATCGGTCACAAGTTATTTAAGACTATTTGGTAACACTAGCTATAAAACTAGTTGGTGACTAATAATCTCGCTGATAATTTATAAGTGAATTTCGAGTTTACAACAAATAGCTCATGTTTGAAAAACTAGCTGATATAATAATAATGTTTGGTAAATTACTTGATAACTTGACAGAAATAAAATTTTCAACGAACTTTTTTCAAAAACTTCCTAATCAACATTATGAGATAAGCTCCATTTTTTTTAAGTCTCATTATACCTGATCAAGTTTGTTTGAAAACAAGTAGCTTATAAGTTAGCTAATTAAATAATGTTTGATAGACGTAACTGATGATAAGCTAGCTGATAGTTGATAAGTGATTTTCGAGTTTATAGTTGATAGGTTATGGGTGATGGCTGAAAAACTAATTGATATGGTAATTTCAAGTTTACAGTTGATAGCTCATGGTTGATGTCTGAAAAACTAGTTGATATAGTTAAAGTGTTGAAAGTTGTTGACGAGTGTTTTCGGTCAACGGTTAAGATTAAGTGAATGAAAAGTACAGGACTGAGAATGAGGCCAGGATAAGGTTTAATTATAGGTTTTTATTAAACGATCACGTGGTCGGCCTCTCGGACGAGGTCGGCTCCTGTGATATTCTTACAGTTCTTACAATTCTTACAATATTAGAGAGAGAAAGTAAAGGAAAGCTTGAGTTAGTTGTGAATTCAACAACCCCAAAATAAATGAGGTGGGCTGCTATTTATAGTACTCTTAAATGAGGAACTGTTCACCGGTCTTGTCGTACAGTAGACTTGCAGAGCAGTTCGGCGCCTCCCTGACAGTTCATTAATGCGATTTGAGGTTTTCCCAATCATTGCTTACTAAGCATTAAATGCGGGCATGGGCAACATTTAATGCTGACTGAACGACTGTGACATGCTGTCCCATCAACCAATGATGATCTTCCAAGCGGTGAATATTTAATGACGATCAGATCGGCGCCATTCTTTAGCAGGGCGGCTCTGACCTGTTCTGGTCGGCTCCTTCTCTTCGAAAGCACGCGTATCCCAGGCGAACTTCTT